ACAGAACGATATGGCTTTCTTGACCTTGGGCAAGGTCGTGGTTGGTCCAGGTGTAGGCTGGGGAGGCGGTGCGTCAGCCAAAGGCCGTGTTGAATGGTCCTGTGTCTAGGGGCCGTTTGTAACTGACGTGGGTGGTTGCGAGAGCTGAGGAGCAGCGACGTCATTGCCAGTGATCGGCAGGTCGGCTGCTTTGAGGTAGGCTGGCTTTAACGTGTCTGTAGAGACAGTACGGGGCTGGCCGTTGACCTCGATTGTGTAGTTTCGCTCGTCGATGCGCCGGATTACTTTGTGTGGCCCTGAGTATAGAGGGTCCAGCGGTCTCCGGATAGCGTCGATGCGGTGAAAGACGTGAGAGCATCTCTGCAGATCGCTGAAGATGAACGGCTTCTGCGGAGGTAGGTGCCTCGATGCCTGGACAGGCTTGATGGCTTGCGTGAGGCGTCGAAGGGCTTGGACGAAGGACGGCGGGTTGACGTTCGGGTGGCTCTGGGTGGTGGAAAATTCACCGGGCACCCTGAGGGTCGTGCCGTAGAGCATCTCGGCCGGAGATGATTGAAGGTCCTCCTTGAACGAGGTTCGGAGGCCCAGAAGCACCGAAGGAAGTGCGTCGGGCCATGGGACGTCCGGGCAGCACATCAGGCCAACCTTGAAAGAACGATGAAAACGTTCTACTATCCCGTTTGACTGCGGGTGACAGGGCGTCGTCCTTATGCAACTTGAGCCAATCATCTTGGCGAGCTCAGTGAATAATGCTGACTCGAACTGGGCTCCTTGGTCCGATGTGATGGTCAAGGACGTTCCGAAGCAGGCGATCCAGCTGTCGTACAGGGACTTGGCAACGGTCGCTGCTTGTTGGTCGGGAACGGGAGCGGCGACCGGCCACCTGGTGAACCTATCTATGATGGTTAGACAGTACTGGAATCCCTTGGTTAATGGGAGCTTCACTAAGTCGACGTGGATGTGTTCGAAGCGTCCATCAGGCATGTTGAAGTCGCCGAGGGCTGAGCGGTTGTGCCTGTGCACTTTCGAGCGCTGGCAGGCCTCGCACTGCTGAGCCCAGTGAGTTACGTCCTTCCGTAGTTTGGGCCACGTAAACTTCTCGGAGACTAGGCGTGCGGTTGACTTAATGCCAGGGTGCGAGAGGTTGTGTAAGACCTCGAATGCCTTTCTGCGAAGAGTCTCTGGAAGATATGGCCTCACGTTCCCAGTCGAAATGTCGCAGAGAATCTGTTGGCCATCGATCTTCAGGGCTTGAAGGTCGAGGCGGGGGTCGTCGAGCAGGTGTCCGAGTTCGGAGTCGTTGGCTTGGGCCTTTGCAATGACCTCTGGCTCCAGGATGGATGGCATAGCGACGGCGTTGATCCGTGAAAGCGCGTCTGCCACCACGTTCTCCTCGCCCTTGACGTGAGATAGAGTCACCTGGTGCTGCAGGATGTAGTCAATCTGTCGGGCCTGTCTTGCCGAGGCTTTGTCAGAGCGTTGGCGGCCTATGAAGACGAGCGGCTTGTGGTCCGTGTAGACGATGAAGGAGCGTCCTTCGAGGACTCTATCGAAGGTCTTGATGGCTACGAAGATAGCTATTAGCTCCTTGTCGTAGGCACTGTAGTTGGCCTCAGCCTTGGACAGCTTCCTGGAAAAGAAATCGAGTGGCCTCCAGGTGCCACGTGGGTACTCCTGCTCCAGGGAGGCGCCGATTGCGATGTCCGAAGCGTCTGTCCTCAGGGCGATCGGAGCGTCGGGCCTGAGGAAAGTCGTCGTGGCGGCTTTGGTTAAGTGGTCCTTGCACTGCTGGAAGGCGAGATTAGCGTCGCGGTTCCAAGTGAGTGAGGCCTTCTTGCTCTTTGGTGGCAGGTCCTTCAAAAGATTGTTGAGTGGGACCATGGTGTTGGCTACTCCAGGCATGCAGTGCCTGTAGAAGTTCACCATGCCCAGGAATCGTCGGAGCTCGGAAGAGTTCTCCGGTTTCGGGAATTCCTGGATGTCCTTGACCTTGTGGGCTGGGGGGTGGACACCATCAGCAGAGACGGTGTAGCCCAGGTAGTCGACCTCGAGCTGGCCGATAACGCACTTCTGCGGGTTAATGCGCAACTTCGCCTTGCGCAGAACGTCGAAGAGGAGGCGCAGGTATTGCAGGTGCTGCTCGTGATCCTCGGAAGCCACGAAGATGTCGTCAAGGTAGCAACTGGCGAACGGTAGGTTGCGTAGGACGTGGTCCATGGTCCGCTGGAGCGATTGAGCGGCGTTTCGTTGACCCATGGAGGACCTGGTGAATTCGTAGAGTCCGAAAGGTGTGGCTATCGCTGTCTTCAGAATGTCCTCCTCGGTGATTGGAATCTGGTAAAAGGCCTTTCTCAGGTCTATGACAAAAAAAACTTTACCAGTCACCTCCTGCAGTAGATCGTCGATTATCGGCAGAGGGTAATGGTCCAGGGTGGTACAGGCGTTTAGGCGCCGGTAGTCCCCTGTGACTCTCCAACCTCCACTGGATTTCTCGACGAGGTGGAGTGGGCTCGCCCACTGACTGGACGATGGCCGGACGATGCCTTGATTGAGTAGTCACCCGATTTCCTCCTTAGCTGCCTGCAGGCGTGGGCCGAGCAGACGTCGAGGTCGCTCGAAGACTGGGGGGCCAGTCGTATGGATGGTGTGGTGTACCGGCAGGTCTGGGAGAGCTGCGGTAGTAGCCTCCAGTGAGCAGAGGTCCGCATATTCTGTGAGGAGGTTCACGTAGCGTTGGCCCAGATACCCAGAGGGTGTGCGCTCTGGTGTTGTGATGACCGACACGCTGTGGATTGCTGCAGGCACTAAGGCGCCGCTCGTCAAGAGGTTAGTTGTTGGGTCGATTAGTCGCTTCCCCTTAACGTACACGAAGTAGCCGAAGTGAGCGAGGAAGTTGGCACCGATGATGGCAATGTGGGTATTGGCGACGATAAAACTCCACGTTGCTGCTCGTCAGAGGCCCAACTCGATGGTTAGGGTCTGCGTGCCGAAGGTGGCTATCGGCGTTGCGTTGGCAGTACTAAGCGTCAATGGTTGGGGCTGCAGCTCTCGGTCCTTGATGAGGTCCTTTGGCAGCAGCGAGATGATGGAGCCCGAGTCAACCAGGAAGTACACCCGAGACTCACGGTCATAGAGGTGAAGGCGGTTCTCTGAGAGATCTTGGTGGCCCGACTCCGACACTTGTGATGGAGGGGGCCCTACTGGTTTCCCGGCTTAGGAACGACGTAGGTGCAGGGCTGTTCCGGGCCGCTGGGCCGAACCTTTGGTGGAAGAAGCACCAATCTGGGTTGTCAGTGGCGGAGGCTGCTTGGTTGCTCCGCCTGCGAGAGCGCGATCTGGATCGGCTCCGACCGCGTTGCTGCTGTTTATCAAGGAGTAGCTCGTTAAGCATCTTCCGGATTTCAGCAACCTCTTGAGCCAGGCCGGATCCGGTGGCGGCGACCGGGGCAGCGAGGGACGCGGATGGTGGAGTCACGGCAGCGGTGTTCACGGCCGGGACCGAGCTGATGAGCTCGTCAGCCATGGCGCTGAGCTCGTCGAAGGTGGCCGTCTTCATAATCCGCAGGATACCGTTAACCTATGGGGGAAGAAGGTCAAGCCACCTGATTTTGAGGATCTCGTCCGCGACTTTTCCAGCCGCGAGGTTTTTCATCTGGCGTAGGAGCTGAGACGGTTTGGAGTCTGCCAGTTGCAACTGGCCAAACAGCTTGCACAGCTGAGCGTCGGAAGTTTCCTGGAATCGGGCCAAAATCGCGTCTTTGATCGCCTTGAGGCATCCGGTCGCTGGGGGTTGGCAATGATGTCCGAGAGTTCGGAAACAGCTGGTCCGCTGAGGGCTCCGACGAGCAGGATGTAGCGCTGGTTGTCGTCGGTGATGCCTGCGGACTGCAGGATGATCTCGACCTAAACGACCCATGCCGCGGGCGCCTCAGCCCAGAAGCGAGGAATCTCCGGGTCAGACATGCTGGCTGTGCGCTGCTGGTGTTGTTGAGCCGGCGGTGGGGGCTGGTGCTGTTGTTGTTGGACGGTGTCGAGGGCCCGCTGCACCTGCTCTTCTTCCTGACGCTCTAAGCGACGCTGAAAGCGTTCGTCTCGGGGCGTCATTTCGTCGTCCTGGTCCCCCAGCGTTGCGAATGTCAAATGGCCGACACCGTGCATGTCGAACTGGGGGTGAGGGCGCGTAAGCGCGAAAGAGGCACACAATAGCGCGTGGATGACTGTCTGCGCGGGCTCAGGCTTGTATGGCCTGGCACGCAGAGGCTTCACTTATACACACGCACTCACGGAATGTTAATTAAAAGGTTGTGGGCTGGGCGAACTATGGCTCCAGCCGCAGTGGCAGTAATAATAAAAAAGGTATTATCGTAAATAAAGGTTACAGTACGGCACTGTCACTTCACTGCACTCAGGTACGAGAGACATAAAGTAGCGCGAGGGACGGCCTCGTGCGTCTTGCGCTCGCCTTTGTCGCGTCTCAAGTACACAGCGTGGATGACGTGCTGAACACGAGCTGTCTAATGGAGCTCACTTGTCGCCATGCTGCACAGTAGTAATGTGTGGCGTACAAGAGGGGGGGAGGGGGGGCGGAACTTGTTGGCTCACCTTGCCCTCACGCACTCACTTGCGAAAAAAAAAAGAAAAAAAAAATGCGCACCCACGAGCACTTGTCGCTGTTGCGACGGGTAAGCTAAAATGGCCGCGAGGCCAAGCGCGTGCTCTGGGGCCGAGAACAAAGAAAATGTATGCACCACGAGGATTTGACTGCTCGGTGGCACGAGGCACTGCGTGTTCGTGAGGAGAGAAAAATAAAATTTTTTTTTGTCACTGGGTCGAGAGTAGAAAAGCCGTGAAGCCTGAGCTCTGTGGACAGCCGTTGACGGAGGCTGTTTTTCTCTCTCGAGGCACTTTTTGTTTGCACATCACTGGCACTGCTTACCTTGACGAGAATCCTGGCAGGATCGCCACTTTAGGATTATGATGTCTCGTTGGAGCTTCTTCCAATGCTCAAGGATATCGGAGGTGTGAAGCAGGTAATGGAATGAACGAGCGAACGGGTTAAGAGTAACTTAACTTTTATTTATTATGAAACAAGAAGAGACTACATTGTATTCAACTGTTCGCTCCTCATGGAATGAGCGAAATTAAAATACAGACTGTTAGTAGCAATTTGGCAACAGTGTCAAATTTAAGACAACAATCGTTACAAACGACCAGTAAAGGTATAGAGGAAAAATTAAAGTCACATTATAATAAAAGAAAGTCAATTCAAAACAAACAACGAAATAATCCAACTAAGCCTTCATTGAGTCCTGATACGATAAATCATGACCCTGTGGATAGTAGCTCCGGCACTAGCACCGATAGTAGCTCTACTGAAGATAGCCATGATGAAATTGTTGACCATGTTGAAGGCCGTCGAGGTCGAAATAATAACACGAATAAAACAGTTAAGAATTTACAAGGCGGGAATTTAAGATTCGCAGGCAATGAAAAAGAAAACTCGGAAGAATTTTTAGATCGCCTCGTGGATTTTAAAAATTGCATGGGAGTGGCTACTAGGGATCTGCTGGCATCGTTACCGGCGATCCTAACACAAAATGCTAGTCGTTGGTACCGGGGCAATAGGAATGATTTTACAATATTCACTAAATTCAAACAGGCGTTTAAACCCCAGTTTATCGGGGAATTTGATAGGGAAGATTTGATGGAGGAATTGCGTTTGCGCACTCAAACAAAGGAAGAGAAGATATCGAGATATCTATCCTGCTTTAAATATATTATCAGTAGATTTTCTGATCCTCCTTCCTTGGAAACGCAAGTAGAGTTAGCTCTACGCAATCTCTTACCATCTTATAGAAAAAGTACGGCGCGAAAAAGACTGAGAACGTTAGGAGATATAGAGAAATATGGGAGACGTCATGAGAAAGAATTAGATTTAGATGCAAGATACGTTCCCCCTCCACCGGTCGAGAAGTCGTGGATTCCAACTGCTGCGTATACTAGACAGCCAATTAAATCGGCAAAAGTGGCTGTAGCTGAGGAGAACCAGCAAAGTGGCTCTAAAATTAAAAACCAGCAAGGGAAAACTAAGACTGGGGATTATGTCCAGGCAACAGTGATTCCTTCGGAAAATAAGCTAAATCCTGAACCACAGAATCCCGCTCCTCAGAGAAAGGAACAAAGTGGCTATAAACCTATTCAAAACGATGGCTTATGTTATTTGTGCAAGGAGCCCGGCCATCGAAGAGCACAGTGTCCTAGCAACTGTTGTTTCCGATGCAAGGCTCCAGGACACAGAGCAAAAGACTGCCCATTAAATACTTCGTACTTACAATTATCATGTCAAGTATGCGGGGCATCGGGAGTAATATTTACGAACTGTCCTGATTGTGCAGGTAGGCGTAAATTGTTGGGAAATGCGTGGGCGGGAGAACAACGGGGACCCCTGTTCTCTCACCAAAATTAGTAGGGTCCCATAAAATAAGTAAAGACGTGGTAGTCGAACAGTCTGAACCGAAAAGTCCGTCAGCATCATGGACAGATTTTGTTCAGAAGAACTCGACACCCACGTCTAACTTACCGAAAAACCCATCTCTCGTAGCATTAGGTTTTGATAGTGACTATGAGGAGTGGCGTGAACAAGTTGCAGCGAAAAAGAGGTGGGTATTAGGTTCTCATACGCCAAGGGACGATAAGTGTCAGGATAGTGGCTGTGAGAATTTAGATAAAGAAGGAGCTGATTCTGGCTCGACTGGCTTTGAGGATTCCTCTTTATGGCTGTTAAATAGTGGAGATAAGGAAATATCGGTTTTTTCCGTATTTTCATCTCAGGAAGGGGGAAAAGCCGTAGTAAATACGACTGATAGTAGAGAAGTGGCTAGTGCAGATCGCATGCCCAGACGTCCGTTTGCTCGTATCTCTTTGGAAGGCAAAGAATATGATACGATGATTGACTCTGGAGCTGAAATCTCATTGGCAGTACCGGCAGTGGCTGAACAATTCAAAGACCGTCTAAGACCGGCTGACACGCTGTTAAAAGGCTTGTTCTATACCAGTGAACCGCTGGGTGTCTTGGACGTGTCAATAGAATTAGACGGTCATGTAGAGACTTTACCGTTACGAGTGGTAGATAACATAGGGCACGATATAGTATTAGGCATTGACTTCGGCGAGAAATGGGATGTCACGGTAAGCTTAGAAAAAAAACACTGGAAATCTTTTAACAGTCCATGGTATAAGTTTGGGTTCGAACCACGGATGTCAGGCTTACTAGTGGCTGAATGCGCTGGAATAACTGAGGTTTGTGCCTCTGAGAGAGAGAGTTGATCAGGTAGTGACTAAATTTCTGTCGAAAGAGGCTGGCCGAATTGAACTGACGAATAGGATCGTACACAAAATTGTTGGGGAACCTGGTTCGTCTCCAATTCGTCACAGGCCACGTCGCATGTCACCTAAAATGCGAGAAATTGCAATTGCAGAATTAGATAAGTTGGCTGAGGAAGGGGTAATTGAGCGCTCTCAAAGCGATTATTCAAGTACCCCAGTGATGATACGAAAGTCTGATGGCTCTTACAGATTTTGTATCGATTATCGGGATTTGAATAAGCAAACGCGATGCGATGCTTACCAGCTCCCGAATATGGATGCTATACTTGATAAATTACGCAAAGCTAAATTTTTGACAAAAATTGATCTTAAGCAGGCGTATTATCAGATAGCAATAGAAGAAAATAGCAAGCGTTATACAGCTTTTTCAGTGGCTGGGAAGGGGTTGTGGCAGTTTAAAAGAATGCCATTTGGTTTGATGAACGCCCCAATGACTTTTCAACGTTTGATCGATGAGTTATTTGGCCCAGAATTCGAACCAAATGTCTTCAGGTACTTGGACGATTTAATCATAGTGGATGGAGTTTTTGAAGAGCATGTAATGCACGTGGAAACAGTGTTGCGTATTTTGATTGAGGCTGGTCTGACGGTGAATCCCGAGAAATGCGAGTTTTGCTGCTCACAGCTACGCTACCTCGGATTCATGCTAGATCGGTATGGCTTGCGTCCTTGTCCGGAAAAAGTGGCTCCCATCCTAGAATATCCGGCACCAACTACTGTTAAAAAGTTGTGGAGATTTCTGGAGATGATGGGGTGGTATGCGCGATTTATTCCAAATGATTCAGAATTAAAAGTTCCGTTGCTTAAATTATTACGGAAAGGACAGGCGTGGGAATGGAAGGAGGAGCAGGAGCAGGCCTTTAACGAGTTAAAAAATTCTTTAATTAAGGCTCCTGTTCTGGCTCGACCTGACTTTTCAAAGCTTTTTACGGTCCAGTGCGATGCCAGTGGCTTGGCTATAGGTGCTGTTCTCACTCAAGAACATGAGGATGGTGAACACCCTATTGTTTTCGTGAGTCGAACGTTAAATCCAGTGGAGAAAAATTATTCGACCACCGAAAAAGAGTGCTTGGCAATGGTGTGGGCAATCGATAAATTCCCTCCGTATCTCAAGGAATACCATTTTACGGTGATAACAGATCACAGTGCTTTGAAGTGGCTTATGGCTTTGAAGGAACCAGCGGGCCGATTGGCTCGTTGGGCTTTCAAGCTTCAGCAATGGGATTTTGAGATTATGCACCGCAAAGGCGCTTCTCATCATGTCCCTGATGCCTTGTCACGTATGTACGAGGGGGCCGAAGAGATCATGGTCTTTGAAGCGATCATTGATCCCTGGTACGTTAAAAAATTGGCAGAAGTCCAATTGGACCCTCGTAAGTACACGACTTGGTGGGCTGAAAACGGCTTGCTGTACAAGTTCAAGGCCGATAAGTTACTGGATCCCACAACGTATAGAGATGATAGTTAGAGGTTGGTGATTCCCCTCGAGAAGCGACAAAAGGTTTTGACCGATGCCCATAACCTCACCAGCACAGGACATTTGGGGATAGAAAAAACGTATGACAGAGTGGCTAAAGAATATTTTTGGCCTGGCATGTGAAATGACGTCTACACGTTCGTTCAGCAGTGTCCAGTATGTCAGAAGTATAAAATTTCGCAGACTGGACCGCAGGGCTTGATGGGCTCGAGAATAGTGGAACGCCTTTGGACGGTAGTGGCTGCTGATGTGATGAAGCTACCTCCCAGTTAGAGCCGGTACAAATATATTGTGGTTTTTCAGGATCTGTTCATCTGTTGGATAGAACTGAAGCCACTGTGTAAGGCTAACGGAAATAGTATTACTGCTGCGTTTCAGGAACTGGTACTGTTTCGTTGGGAAACGCCGGAATATTTCTTGACCGATAATGGGAAGGAGTTCTGTAATAAGTGGCTAGAGGAGGTATTAGTTGAGTAAGGGGTAACCCACGTAACTACACCGCCCTATCATCCTCAGGCAAATCCCGTGGAGAGGGTTAATAGGACTTTAAAGACAATGATCGCCATGTTCGTATAGGCTGATCTTTGCTCTTGGGACTTGCATCTACATGAGTTCCTTCATGCTGTAAACACGGCTGTGCAGGCGTCCACTAAGGTCTCGCCAGCTTTTCTTAATTTTGGTAGGCAACCTCAGCCAGTTAAAAACTTGAGACGAGAAGTAGAAGGGAAAGTGCCGATAATAAAGGTGGCTCCAGAAGAGTGGCTGGATCGGCTTAAAAGATTAGACGCGTTGCGTGACTTAGTGGCTAGATTTATTGACGAAGCTCGTGACAGACAGATGAGGTATTACAACAGGGGTAGGAAGTCTGTAATATTTTCTGTGGGAGATCAAGTTATGCGTAGAACTCACCCCTTGTCTAGTGCCGCCAATCAGTTCTCAGCTAAACTAGCACCACGGTATGAGGGGCCGTTTACGATAGTTGCAGTTAAGTCTCCCGTCGTTTACGTACTTGATATGGGAACGAGTGCTAATAACATTCACGTGTCAGAGCTTAAAAGATATGTCCCCCCAAGACTGGCAGCCACTTCTCGTTAATGGGTACAGGCGTAGTGACTTAGTTAATGGGTTGTATTCATGTTTCTTTCAGGGGTATGGAAACAGAATTGTCATCACCTGGTTTGACTCCATACTATCTGGAACATTACGAAATTTGGCTGTCTGAGTTGAAGCAACCCCCTAAACCGAGGTTTGGGGATAAGCGATCCCTGGATTGAGCCGATGGACGAGGATCCTTTGCTGATCCAAGTGAGCGAGGAAACAGTTCAGGATTGGCAGGGTCCAATCCCGATGGCTGTTAATGGGCTGGAAGAGGATAACCCAGACCCGAGTCTGCCTTTGACTCCTTGGGACGTATCTGAGGTGGCATGCTTTGTGTAGGTTCAACTGAACGAGATTTCGACGGAAAATCCTCCATTGAAGTAGCTTCTTCTGGGGCCAAATTAAGTTCTTTGGAAGAAGGCCAGTCATCACCTCTTGTTCTTACTAGGCATCTGGGGTTGCCAATCAATGAGGGAAATTGGAGTAATGATTGGAAAGCCAATCCGGGAGATGAATCCCGATCTGCATTCACTATTGATCCCACTCCGGGCCTAAGTCGTGGCTCTCGTCGTAGAGCCCGAAAACGGGCTGGTGAGCGTGGCTTCGATTGGGCCGAAGCTAGTTTGGGGATCGAACGGCAGGAAGGATCGTTGGAAGCCGGCTCCCCGATTAGACGGTCAACAACGCCTATCGACCCAGAGATTGCCGAGCAGTTGCTGCCAAGGCCTGAGGAGCGACCTATGTTAAGCTCAGTCCCTGAAACATCGCCATTGGTTCCTCGGTCTCGGGGAGGAAGTGTGGGTCGAGTATCACGCCGGCGAGTACGACCGCATCGATTGCGTCACCAACGCTCACGACGCGTCGTGGCAGCGTTCGCTACCTTATGGTAGGCGCTGTCTTGAGTTGAGAGAGAGGAGGTGGCGCGCGCAGCTAATCCGTGCGTGGGATAAGCTGTTGCTTCCACTGAAAAGCTTGATTTGAGCTTTGGCTGGTGGATGGCCCCACATATATACACGTTGTAGGGTTCAAGCCTACTATATATATAATGCAAGGTCCAGCAGGAGCTCCCCAGGATAAGGATTCTACAACAAGGAAGATTATACGTCCTGGTTAATAGTGTACAACTTATTTATTATCGAGTCTTGTAATACAGGAGAACCACTCAAGCGGGCGGCCGAACAAGCACTGAATGTAGTGCGGTACATGGTTACATATACTGTATAGACTAGAGATTCACTACTGCTCCGCTAGTGACTTAAGGTTGGATACCCCACAGTACTCCCTCCAAGTTATGACAATAACTTCTTTAACAAAAATTCAATGTTTTAAACAACAATTGGGAGCAGTAGTGCTAACGCATAACGATTTAACATATTATAATCACAGCAGAAACAGTCTATCGCTTAATCGCGATTTTTAAATACACAATCTCTTATACCAGAACATTTACAGTATTTTCAGTCTCTCGATTACTCGAACTGTACAACGTTTAACAACTTATTACAAAAATAAATGTCATTATGACCAAGAATACATTTGTCTTGTTAATATAAAAATACTTGGTTTTTATCAGTGTTAAGCACTACCTTTTTCGTTAAACTATTAACATCTTTTTTATTTGAATACGTTTTAAGAATATGGCGCATCTCCGGAGCCTGCTTAGGCAGTGTAAAGGTCTCCGGAAGTGGTGGAGGCTGCAGGTCTTCTGGAATAAAGTGAGCCAGCTTAAGCAATTCGGTCGAGACTGTTCTAGGCGAACCGTTCACGACAATCTTATAATCCTGATCGGAAATACGCTCGATGATTTCGTGAGGGCCAGAGTAGGGACGCTCGAGAACCCTCTTGGCGGGCGGAGCCTTCAGAAATACGTGCGTGCAAGTACGCAAATCCTTAAAGAAGAATGCACGCGGTTTGTAACGATGCGCCACAGGAACGGGTTTAACGTTCCGCATGTGCACACGAAACTCCTCCAAGAAGAACTGAGGATCTGGCCTGAAATCGTCCGGAAGACAGAACTCACCGGGCACCCTAAGAGAAGTACCATACAAAAAATCGGCAGGCAAAGCCTTAGAGTCGAGACGCACAGCTGTTCGCAAACCAAGCATAACCGTCGAGAGCTGCCCAAGCCAGTTTTTGTTATTATGGCACATTGAAGCCTTCTTCAGATCCCGATGCCAACGCTCGATCATACCGTTTGCTGCAGGATGATATGCAGCCGTCCGAATTCGCCGAACGCCCAGGAGATTCAGAAGCGCTTTGAAGACTTGCGATTCAAATTGGGGGCCTTGGTCGGTGGTAAGGGTACAAGGGGTACTGAAACGAGCGATCCAATTATCGAAGAAAGCTCACGCTACAGTAATTGCTGAAATATCCTTAAGCGGCACGGCTTCCGGCCAACGAGAAAACCTATCGATCATCGTAAGGATGTACGAGTAACCCTCGCAGCTGGGAAGTGGGCCGACAATATCCATGTGGATATGTGTAAAGCGACCGTCCGGGGCGACAAAGGTACAGGGGTCATTTTTAACGTGGCGAGAAATCTTTGAAGACTGGCAGTCAACACAGGTCTTGCACCAAGCTCTGATGTCGATATGCATCTTAGGCCAAACATATCTCTGTCTGATGATGTTATCAGTCACTTTGGCCCCAGGGTGTGCAGGACTGTGAAAAAGTTCGAACACTCTCCTACGAAGGAGTTGGGGGACATACGGACGAAGTACACTTCCCGCCACGTCACAAAACACTTTATGGTGGTCCTGACCCCACTCGATGCTCTTAATAACCAGCGAGTGCCTCTCAGCTCCTCCCAACAACTCAGCTAACTCGGGATCCGCCTTTTGAAGCTGAGCCAACTCAAGTAAGTTGAACTCAACAGGCAGACGTATAAGGTCGACACGCGAAAGAGCATCAGCGACCGAGTTCTCAATACCGGCAATATGTCGAATGGAAGTAGTAAATTGCGAAACAAACGAAAGTTGTCTGCACTGACGAGGTGAAGCCTTGTCAGCACGCTGCTTAAAAGCATGAATAAGGGGTTTATGGTCAGTAAGAATATAAAACTCTATTGCTTCTAAAAAATACCTAAAATACTTGGTTGCTTCATACACGGCAGTCAGCTCTCGATCATAAGTGCTGTACCGGGTCTGCGCTGGCGTAAACTTTCGCGAGAAAAAACCTAAAGGTTTCCAACGCTCACCCTGACGCTGCTCGACAACGGCTCCCATTGCCAGATCTGACGCGTCCGTAACCAGACGAGTTTCGGCTCCGATAGCGGGGTGGCTCAAAAGAGCAACACCAGCCAAATCCTCCTTAGCCTTTTCAAATGCGGCGTTCGCTTCCGGCGTCCACGCGATCTCACGCTTATCATTCTTCACCGAACCGCGGATATAATCATTCAGAGGAGCCTGCGTCTCAGCCGCGTGGGGAATACCGCGGCGGTAGGTGTTAACCATCCCCAAAAACCGACGCAGCTGGACCACCGTCCTCGGCTTCGGGAAATTCAAAACCGCCTGAACGCTATCAGCTGAAGGCTTGGAACCATCACTATTGATAACGTACCCCAAAAAGTTAACCTCATCCTTGACGAGCTTACATTTACCAAGATTCAATTGCAAACCGAACCGTTCAAGCCGCTCAAGGACCACACGCAGATGACCGAAGTGTTCCTGTGCGCTCGACAAGAAGATCAAAATATCGTCGAGGTAGACGAAAACAAAGTCCAACCCCGAGAGCGCCCGATTAATATACCTCTAAAACGACTGGCAAGCATTTCTCAACCCGAAGGGAGTACCAAGGTACACAAACAGGCCGAAGGGGGTAATTACAGCCGTCTTCGGGACGTCCTCAGGCGCAACAGGAATCTGATGGTACGCCTTATGCAAATCTAGCGTGGA